CTTTTGGAACTAGCCTGGTTGCCCCCCCGATGCCGTCCTTGCATCGGGACCCTCGCATACTTTTCACACTCGTCGGGCCTTGCGAGTGCGCGTCGGCTCCCGCGGACGCCGTAGCATTGATTCGGAAAACTTGTCAAACATAAGTTATGTGACTTGGGTGTTTGTAGGTCGGCCCGTCACGAATGCCTGTCACCTGCATCGCATGCTCGCGATTAGCTCAGCTCGCAGAAGCGAGCAGTTCCCAGTAGCACCACGTTCACCAAACACTCCACCGCATTCGATACCCAGAGGTTTTAGTTTGGATTTCAGTTTGAAGGTTGAACTCCTGATCCAGAAAAAAAATTTGGTGCGAGGTCTATACACTTTACTGTTTTCCTGGGATCAAAGATGCTGAAAGTCGAGCCATGGAATCCTAAATTAGCGGTCGTCTGACGTAGTGATTGCTTCCAGCAACTCCTACTATTCAACATCCGTTCTGCAAAACCTGAAACACATCTAATTTTCTTTCATGTCAACTGTTTATAGGGCGCTGATAAGAAGAAAGTAGTTACTAATTGTCACGATTGTAAGATAACTATGACGATAACATACATTGAAGTGAGTGGATTCACGCACTCACTTTCTCTGCCTCTCCGGTCACTTTCCACCTATTCAGGCTTAGGTATTCAAGCTAACTGATTTTGTGTAATGCTCAACTACACTTAAAAACCCATCGTTGAACCACTATGCTATCCTATTTCGTGCGTTGCTTCTCCTTGCCGTTTTAAAGTGAGGTCTACTGACGAGCGAAGCGCACATGTAAATAAATCCACGATGAGAGCATTTAATGATGTCATTACTGAAACAGATATCGCTTTCTAGCACACTTTCCTGTAACGTCGATGTCGACACGATTAACGATGACTACTGTGAGAAAACACTCCCCAGAAACATACTTATAACATAACTTAACCCTAATTTTCTTACAGAGAAGAAGATGTCGCACGATGTTCCTACACACAGTAATAGAAGGAAC